CTGCCTCTCCTTCTGCAGCTGCTGTGCTAGTCAATGCTACGCAGGCATTTCCCTTGATGGCTTCCAAAGGTGACACCGTACTCTGAGGGCACAGCCCTGCTTGGATGCATTCATTTCATATAAACAGGGCCCTCATTCTGTGCAAGCCTGTCCTAAGACGGGGTGTGAACGTGGGAAGAGCACAGCTGCTGCCCTCTTCAAGAGAAGAGAAGCCAGGTACATGAACTTAAAACAGGGCTCACGGTCCAGGCAGCACGCAGTCAGTGCCAAAGTACAGATGCCTACAGTGAGGGCCCAGATGAGTTCCCAGGGAAGTGAGGAACCCTGTGATCATGAGCTTGAAGTTGAAGCTGAAATGGACCCCTCCTCTCCTCTCCTCTGCACACACCCCCCACTCATCATTTCCAGAAAGCATCCCACACATGCTTGTTCTGGTTGTAGCCAACCCACAGGCTCAGATTCCAGGGGGCGTGGCCACACATCTGTCGCCCCAGGGTATTGGCTCACCTCAAACATTTTTGAGGGTTTAAGTCTGTCTTGTATTTTTTAGCGCACCTTGTAAAAATAATAATATTAAAAAAGAACATCACCCAACAGTTCCAGCATCTGGAAGTTTATTCTAGAAATGCAAAAGGATGTATGTTTAAAGATGTTAATTGCAGCAGGGTGGATAGTCCATTTATTTATAGAGGAAAACAGGAAGCTGCTACAAATAAAGAGGTAACTAAGGTTTACTCCTGTTCGTGCTGATCACATTGGTACATTTATGTAAATGGTATATTTGTATGTGAGTATGTAATCAAAATTAAGCTTATAAAATAAAAACAAATAAGAAAGAGCATCAGTGATTCCAACAACCAGCCCCCAGAAGTGGATGGCTCGGATTCCAAAACCATCCCTCCCTTTGTGTAGTTGGAGAGGTCAGCTTATTCGTAGGCCAACTGAAAATAGAAGGTGTCAATTGGGCAGCAGTTCAGGAATGGCCTCTGTTGGGGGAGGCAGCTGGCCTCAGTGAGAAGACTCAGAGAGTCCTGGGGTCACATCCAAGGCCTGCCATTTGCCATCCATGTGTCCTGGACAAGCTACCGTACTCTCGGAGGTATCTGGGAAATGGGGCCAGTAACTCCCTGCCTCCCCCAGGAATTAGAGAAATTACATGGACAGCCATCATAAAGTACCTGGAATGTGCCTGCCGTTCCTGACCCAACAAATCGTAGCAAATGTTAATAGTATTGCTATTAGTCATTGTCACCGTATTATTATATCCTTTGGAAATAAAGGAATGGCCAACTTAATGCAAAAGTGCCCCACTCTAAAATATTCAGACCAGTTGTATTGATGGTGCTATCAATATCATCAGGCTTTCTTCAAGGTTGAAGAAGGTTCTTCAAGGTTGTATCTTCAAGGTTGACTTTGTATGTTTGTTTTGTTCCTTTGTTCTGTTCAGTTTTATTTTTTTTTTTTTTGGTTTTTTAGTTTCTTGGTAGTAGTAGTAGTAGACCCTTTTTTAGAGCATTTTTAGGTTCACAACAAAATTGAGCGGAAGGTACTGATTTTCATATCCTTCCTACCCCCCTACCTGCACAGCATCTCCCCCATCAATACTTTGTTCTATTTTATTTGTTTTTCCAGTGGGAACCTGATTTCCAGTGGTAACATGGCAGGAATTAGAGCAGAGTTTCTTGTAAGCAAAGTGGCAGGCCGGGAGGTACTCTATGGCTGGAGAGGAGCCCCATCGCCTGGCAGGCCCCTTCAGGTGTCCAAAGGGGCATCTGATCGAGGGTGGGCATCCCCGTCTCACACTCCCCTGTGCAGGGGAATTAATGGTCATCACCCTTGAAATCACAGAGAGCCTGGAAGAACTCTTCATGTCTCAACCCAATCCAAGTATTGATTTGTGTTATGTTAGATGGAGCTTCTTGCTTCACAACAGGATCAATACATGATATTGGAACATAGTCTTAAAGAGATGATTTATAGACTTGGCTATTTCAGGGAGTTGAGTATGGCAGCTATAGACAGCTTATTTAGATCTTGTTTAATTCACGAATGTGCAATTCTGTATTCTAATTACTGCATCTGGCTATCCTTTCAAGATAATGATAAAGCCCGCATATCATTGGATCAGCCAAGTCATACAGGAAAAGGGGGGTTGAGTCCATTGCAATTTGGGAATGTATATTCTCACTCATCCACAAGCTGTAAATATAGCATTAATTTTTTTAAAGTGACATTTTCTTCCCCCAAAAGTCCACAGACAAATAATTTTGTACAGATTATGAATAGACCAATCAATAAAAGTTATTTTTAAGGCTTCTTTGCATGCCAGACATCCCAGGTTCCTTGGAGATTAGAAACATGTAAGACGGAATCCTTGTTCTAAAGTCTCCACCACCTACAAAATTCACACAAGAAATACAAATTCAAGGTGGACAAACAGAAAATATGAATAGGAATTATAAAAACAGAGTCACACCAACAGAGGGAGAAGCTATTTTGATTTATGGCCTTACAAACTCTTATGTGCAAATATACTTATGCGAGTGTGTGTGTGTGTGTGTGTGTGTATGTGCTTCTACAATAGATAATACTCAAAAAGAGATTGTACTCACTGTTTTATAATATTTTTCATTAGCAATGTATTGTAAATTCCTTTTCTTGTTGTTAGCTGTGGACTTAAATAACCTCTTTTAGCAGGATTTCATTGAATGACGAACCATAGTTTATATAACCAATCCCCTATTGTATATTTTGTTAGGTTTTATAATTTATTATAGTCAGCATTTTGGAAAGAATATCCCCAATGCATATGTTTTTGTGCACTCGTCTGATATTTCCACAGAATCAAGTGGTAAGATGCATTTTAGAATCTTACAGTCTGGTCAGAGAGCCCAAGCACATAGGTGTGAAAAGGAAAATGAGTTCATAAAGTAGGGGAGGGATGGCTAAATTAGTGCAACAACCAAGAGTCAGAGGCCAGAGAGATCATTTCATGCTTGGGTTGCTACAGAAGCCTTCATGAAGGACAGCTGCCAGTGACAGAAACTCCGCTTAAGTCATCTTAAGTGTAAAAGGCATATTATTGGCTCATGAAATTGGAAAGTCGAATTTGGCTTCAGACTGAGCTGGGTCCAGAGTTCATGTGGTGTCATTGAGCACCTGTGTGAATGTGTGTGTCTATCTGTGTAAATGTGTGTGTCTGTATGTATGTATCTGTGTGTGTGTGTGTGTGTGTGTGTTTGTGTCTGTCTGTCTGTCTACCTGTCCCATCTCCTCGATAGTCTTCTTACTATGTGAGCTGCATTCTTGGACAGCTCCAGACTTGGGTGGTGTTTATATCTCATAAAGAGAGAGTCCCTCTCTCCCAGCTTCTTTGTCAGTCCCTCCTTGGCCCCTTGCAGACCTTTTGCCCACCCACCACTGTGTGACAGAGAAGGGAGTGTCCAGGCAGCTAGCCTGGGTCATGTGCCTGTGCCCTGTGCTGAGGGAGGTTGGGAATGTGTGACTGAAGGTCTGTCTGGTGGAGCAATGCTCAAAAGGAAAAGATGTTGAGAGATGAAAACATGAAAGCGGTGTTACTGCTGAGGATACTGGAACTTGAAGGATGACCCACTGTACCCATTTGATGCTTTGGGCTGCAAGTAACAGGAAAACTCCAAACCAGACTGGCCTGAATGCCCTGTTACAAAGTCCAGAGGCAGGCGTGCTCCAGCACCACGTGCTCATTGGCTTGGTGATGCCATTAAGTTACTCAGGATTGGGCGCCTGGGTGGCTCAGTTGGTTAAGCGACTGCCTTCGGCTCAGGTCATGATCCTGGAGTCCCAGGATCGAGTCCCGCATCGGGCTCCCTGCTCACCAGGGAGTCTGCTTCTCCCTCTGGCCCTCCCCCCATCTCATGTGCTTTCTCTCTCATTCTCTCTGTCTCTCAAATAAATAAATAAAATTAAAAAAAAAAAAGTTACTCAGGGTCAACTTCATCTCATGTCCAATTTCCCTCAATATGGCCGCCAGGGGCAGTCAGGACTTCCAGCTTCCTTGTCCATAACCAGTGCCAGAAGTTGGGAAATGGCACCCACTGGCAAGGACTCTAAGACCTTTCCTGCCATCTCATTGGGCCAGCCCAGGTCATGTGTCCACCCCTGAACCATCAGTGGGAAACACTGCATACTGACTGGCCAGTCAGTAGCTACTCCTGGAGGAAGGGGTGGAGTCACCTTCCCAGGGAATATGGTGGATATTGGGATGAAACTGGGGTCCCATTAGGAAGGAGTGAAGGATGGGTGCTAGGTGGGTCAACCAACCCAAATCCCAATAAGATTTTATTAATTAGAGAAGAAACCTGGCGTTAAATAGGTAAAGAGGTAATTTATGGCCAAACAGTAGAATTCCAGGGGTTTCTCTGGTCATAGCTGACAGGAAGCAAGATTGCAGAGCCTGTCCTGCAGGGAACAGCACAGTGAACAGCCTCACTTGAAGTATTCGTTTATTTTTTCCTTCATTGCACATATATTATTAAGTGCTGGAGATAAATAAGATAAAGTCCATATTCTCATGGACTTCTAGTGAGGAAGACAGACAACAAACAAATTAATATGTCAAGAAAAACAAATCAGGATAAGGTGGATACAGAGAAATGGGAGGTAGGGGAGTCCCAGGTCCCTTGCTTAGGTTGACATTGAACCAGGGACTTGAAGGACATGATGGGGTGAGCCAAGGTCATCTGAGGGGAGTGTGATTTGGGCAGAGGGAACAGCAGGTGAAAAGGCCCTGAGGCAGGCATCCATAGTATGTTTGGTGGACAAGGGGGAGAGCGGTAGATGATGAGGTCAGAGGAGAGGTGAGATCACGGAGGGCCTCCCAGGCATTGCAGTCTTTGTACTTTGGGTAAGATGTTGTGTCCATGATGCCAGAGGGTGTTATTAAAGCAGAGGGTAGCCAGGCCCTCACCCTATGACTCTGCCTTGACTGTGACTTTAACCCCTTCTTTCCTCTCTTCCAGGCCATGTACATGTTCTATGCGCTAGCCATTGTGTGTGACGACTTCTTCGTCCCCTCCTTGGAAAAGATCTGTGAGGTAAAAGCCTTATATTCTCAGCATGTCTGGGCAGGGGGTGCAACTGTGCTGCTCCAGCCTCCTTCATGGAGGTCCTGGGGAGCCCTCCATGCCTGGGCGGGAGCACCAGACATCAGTGTGCATCTGAGCGACCGACAACAGTAGCACAAAACTCCATCGGTCCGTTCAGAACATCAGGGCTCTGACCCATAGTTGGGCTTTCACACACGTTGCCAGCTCTCCCTGCTCCATTTGACAATTCGTGGTGATATTTGTGTTCTACTTCCCTGTTCTCTTTTCCTCTTTTAAATCCCTCCACGTCCCCCACCTTCCCCTCCTCTGTTTCCTTCCGCATCCGTGACCTCCCTCGGGGGGTCCTTGCGGAGCCGGAGGTCTTCAGCCACACACCTCCACCACCCTGCCCCTCTCTGTACATGTGCAGAAATGTGCCAAGCGGAGGCCCGAGAAGCGAGACGACGAGAGAACAGGCCACAGAGAACAGGAAAGGGGCTCTCTGTTCTCACTCAGCCTGGGGAACGTCAGGTTGAAGACCGAAGGACAGCCCTTTCATCAGAAAATATTCAGCGTATTTAGAACACTTTCATTCGCTCGCCTCTTTCGTCTCCATCTGTTTTGAACTAGTTTCCTTTATCTGGAAGCTTTCCACTTTATTTTTAATTTAGAATCCTGTTCTCCAAAAGGCTCTCTCCCAGACACGCCTCCCATCTGGGACTCGTGTCCTCATGTAGTCCTTGGTCATCCTTCCCCTTGGTCATCCTTCCTCTTCCCTCCCCCCAGCCCCCACCCCCCCGAAGGTCTGATGCCTTAGTTCTTAGGGGGCAGCGGAGGACCCAAGTTGCCCAGGTGATGCTGAGGCTGTTGGTCCAGAAACCACACTTAGAGATCGTTCACTTAAGCGGTTTCTTCTACATCCTAGAAATCTGTTTGGTTTTCGTAGTTTAAATAAATAAAAGAGAATCAGACCACAGGAGCCCTGGAGGGGCCTCGGGAGGAGGTTTCTTTATCGGGCCGAAGGAGGAGAGCGATGAGGTGGCATCTGAGATGGGCACTGGACCCGTGTGGGAGCCCTTTGTCCCAAGTGATGTCACCTGAGCACAGGGTCACCTTATGTAGCAGGAGAGGAGGTGCTGAAGCACCCATAACCGGGGTCATTTGTGATCTCTCAAACACCACCACGTGGTACTCTATTCATTATGCAAAGCAAACTACTCTCTTTCCCACACAACTTTTTTTTATAGCAAATTTACGACCCTACATAGACATGTACGTATGTGTTCTTGTCAGGAGGTGTTCTACTCCGTAGAGGAAATCCACAGCACCTGTGAGCACACCCCCACCTTGGGGAGGACATGGTATGAAATAGAGCATGGTCCTTGCCATCCACGGGCCATAGGGCACAGAGCAGCTCCGGGGTGAGGCACACAGGGGGCTGGATGAAGTTCTGTATACTTGGAAAGTAGAGAGAGAGGAAAGGGGAGGCACAGCTTGATTGGGGTGGGGGTAAGGGAGGGGCTTGTGCAGGGACAGGAGTGGAGCAGCCCTTGGAGGCATTTTTCACATTTCAAGGCAACACATTTCAAGGAAGGATATTTGTGCGGAGGAGAGTCTGAGCTCCGGGACCATGGGAGAAGAACCCAGGACTGGAATTGGCCTCTGAGGAACCCTGGGGAAGGCGAGGCTAGGGCATCAGTGGTTACCAGGTCTCAGGAGGGAGCCGGGAAGGCTCTTGACAACTATGTTCTGATAGAGGCATCCAGAGGCAGGAAGACCCTACCCCTCCCTAGCTGGTGATTCGGAGCATCCAGCAAGCTGTTGCCAGGGCCCAAGTGAATTAGGGATGAGAGAGGAGGGGATGTAAGGAAACATGGGGGAAGAAGGAAACTCAGTGTTTGAAGGAGAGAGAGAGGAACTGGAGATGAGCTCAAGGTGTGGACTCTATGTCTAATGCCCATCATGGACCCTGAGCTGGAACAGACACAGCACTCCCAGGCTCACAGCTCCTGGCAAGTCTTGACTGACTACCAAAGAGTGTGAGCTCTGTGTTAGGTTACCTTCAGGGACTTCATGTCTGGGGTCTCACCTGCATCCCTCACAGCCACAGCTTTCAACTTGAGGTATCAGCACCTCCATCTTAGAGTCACATTTGAAGTTGAGCTGTTCAGTCCAGAGTGAGGGATCCCCAGGACTGCAGATCAAAGAGCTCCATTAGGGCTCCCACTGCAGCCTGTTGCTGGTCCGGGGAGCCAGTGGCCCACGCCGAGGCCATGCTGCCCCTCCATGGCTGAGCAAGGAAGTGCAGCTGCCCGTGTGCTGGGAAGAGGGACTATTGTCATTCAAGACTAGCACCTCCTGGCTGGGACCCAGCAGGGAACAGGCTAGTTACTGACAGCCAGCAGCTTACGTTCTGGGTCATGACTGAATGCAGAAAGGCTAAACACGCTAGCCAGCCTCAAATATATATATATATTTGTCTCCTCTTTTTGCAGATCACCTTTTGAGTTAACAGACAGAGTAACCTGGAGGGTTCATTGTACAGGACATCTTGACAGGGCACCTCATCCTTTCCACTCGGTCTCAACCCCACCCCCCATTCTCCCAACTGCATTAATGACGAGCAGTAGGTTTCAGGAGGGTGACCCCTCCACCCCCAAAGCTGTTGTAACCTCCTAGAATCAAGACTTGCCAACTGATTACCTCATTTAGCCTGGGATAGGCGGAGTATTGAAAAAAAATCGGGATGTTTTGCATAAAAATGTGGATTTGGCCATCTCTTAAGAAGTAAGGCTATTTGGCAACATGGAGGGAAGTGAGTGGCACACCCTTTAGAAAGGAGGCAGAAGCCCATAGTGCCTCACACCAACCCACCCCACTTCCCCCTGTCATCGGCGCAACACCCGGGGCTTCTGGGGTGGGGATTCCTAGATCTTGTCAAGAGCCTTTAACTCACAGAGATATGCAACCCTCTCCCTGATCCTGCCCCTGGGGAGGATGGCCAGAGGAGCAGTGTCCCAGCAGGGGATGGTGCAGGAAAGGCCAGTTGTGGGGGAGGGGGGAGGTTATGGGAGGCCCTGAGCTCGGGACCTCAGTAGTCATGATGGCCTCTGTTCCCAGGGGAATCCCAACTCACCTGTGCTTTGTCCTTGCTCCTCTATAGCGCCTGCACCTCAGTGAAGATGTGGCCGGGGCCACATTCATGGCAGCAGGCAGTTCGGCCCCAGAGCTGTTCACATCTGTCATAGGTAGGTGATGATCTTGGGATATCTCAGCCCTGCCCTCTCTTAAGGTCAAGGACTGTGGGGACAGACAGCCTTCCAGTGGGTTGGCTAATAGGAAATGAGACTCTCAAGAGCCCAAGGAGCAGAACACCATCTTCCCACCCCGCTGTGGTCGCTGTTACTATTTTACTCAAGTGACAGTTTCACTTTACATGAATGTGTCCCAGTTCCTGTGCCAATGCCCCCATGGAACAATAGCCCCAGTGCAGATTTTATTTTATTTTATTTTATTTTTTTAAAGATTTTTTTTTATTTATTCATTCGAGACACAGAGATACGAGAGAGAGAGAGAGAGAACATGAGCAAGGGGAGAAGCAGAGGGAGGAGGAAAAGCAGGCCCCCCGCTGTGCAGGGAGCCGGATGCGGGGCTTGATCCCAGGACCCTGGGATCATGACCTGAGCCAAAGGCAGACGCTTAACCATCTGAACCACCCAGGCACACCCCCCCCCCGCAGGGCAGATTTTAAAACTCTCTCCCGTCCTCGGCCGTTTCCCGTGGACCCTGAGAGCTGTCTGACTAACACTTGTGAAAACAACCCCACGCCCACATTAGAATGCAACTGGCCACAACAGCCAGGCTGACATTAGGTCTGTTTCAGGGGTCTTCATCACCAAGGGTGACGTGGGAGTCGGGACCATCGTGGGCTCCGCGGTGTTCAACATCCTGTGCATCATCGGTGTCTGCGGGCTCTTTGCTGGGCAGGTAAGGCCAGCGGCAGAACGTGGTGTGGGCTCGGAGGGGGCAGCACAGAGGTGGGGCAGGAGCGCCGTCAGCATGGGGGCCAATGGTCTCAGGCAGCAGTGACATGGGATCTCACGCCCCAGGAGGCTACCCACCTGGGACTGGAAAATGTCAGGCACCATTGTTTGGTGTCCATGTTGATGGCGTACAGAGCACCCGGGTCCACATAAATAATTAACCAGCCTGAAGGTGCAGGCTACGAATCTGAAGGTGTAGAGCTCATTTTGAATGTCATGATCTGAACTGAAATGACCTAGAACAATTTAAGGTATGGCTTTGACTCACTGGCGATAAAGCAAGTAAGAGAGAGAGAGGAAACGACAGATTTTTTTTCTGCTAAAAACCATTTGCAGCTGTCACAGCATAGGAGTTTTGTGACAGCCATCAAGCAATTTATTTACATGGTTACTTTAGCTTACTTTTGGTATCCTGAGGGTCTTTGCATGCCTGCATTTTGTCTATGAGGCTGTTCTACTTCCAGGGAGTGTCCTGGGGTCTGGTGTCTGTCTGGAAAGTCCTGGGAAGACACCCAGAAGTCACCTAAGTGCAAGGCTCACTGGTAGCCTGGGCGATGCTGAGGCACCCAAGGGTTTGCCGGCTCCGACGTCCTAATTCCCTCATAGGAACTTTGATCCTGAGCTCTGCCCAGACACCCAGACTTTGAATGTCTTCTAGGAAAAGCACCTTCAAAAGCCTGTTTAGGGCACTCCGCTTGCATTACTGAAAAGCCTGGGGATCCTAACCAGCTCCCTCACTGTGGAGGACACAGGGTCCTGCTAAAGGTGTTGGCTAGTTTGAAGGCTAAAGAAAGCACCATTTGAACCTCCTTCCACACCCTTTTCTGGGCCCCTGTGCTGTCCAGTCAGCCAGCCAGGGGCGCCCACCCTGCCCGTCTCTCTAACTTGAACTGGAAAGTCTCTGCAGGAGGCACCTGGGACACCGTTGCTGTTCTCCACTGCCTGTTTCTACATGCCATCATTTCATGCCCATTGATTAGTTCAGGTTGCCTGATGAGTTGGCTGCTTCTGGGTGACAGGCAGAAGGACACCTCGATCTCTCCAGGAATGGGCTCCAGAGCCCACAGGTGTATCCATACGTGGTGGCTGAGTTCTGCCCAATTTGCTACTGACATTTTATTTTTTCTCATCTTTTTGATCCATCATCTCTAGTCTTAGATTTTGTGGACCCACAATATGGTGTCTTTTTTAGACCTCTTATAAATATTGGTAGTGCCCCCCCCAAAACCAAAAACCAAAAAACGAGTCTCTGTCTTTGCCTTTGGTACACTTGCGTGGATCTCGTCTTGTGGCCGTCTTCTCACTGCCCTGCGGAGATGAATAGTCACATCCTGCAGAAGAGGCTATTGCTGTTCACACTCTCTTAATTAGCATTGTCACCATGAGCAGTATGATTATTAGCCCGGCCAATATGCGTGTTGTCATTAGTGCATTAGTCATTTGTACATGCGGCTTGATGAAAAGGCGAGCCCAAAGGGGGAGAAGTAACATAAAGAAATGAAACAAATGACAGGGAGGTATCTAGTAAATGCCAGGCAACTAATTACATATGAAGTGGCTTGCATTCATTTGTATTCATAATTTATTAGCAATGTGGTTAATCACTGGCTTGGTTAGAACACCTGCTTAAAAGGCAGATTGCTTCCTGAACTTCAGCACGTGCTGAAGTGCTCAGTCACTTTCCCCCGTCTGGAAGGTCTTTGCAAGCTCGTCTCGCAGAGAGAAGTAGCTGCCACCATGGTGTTAGAAGTTGCCCGCGTGATGACTCTGGATGCCACAGCACTTCCTTCTGGTTTTCCTTGTCTTGTGCCCACTTGGGGGTTGCTAAGGCCATCCACCTCTCTTCTTTCAGCAGTTTGTAGAATCCCGGAAACCTTTGCAGACAGAGCAAATTATGTTTTGGAAAGAACATGGGTCGGGGACTCAGACTGGCCTGGGTTTGAATCCAGACTCTGCCCTTTGCTGGCCATGAAAACTTGGAGAAGTGACTTTATCACCCCTCTGAGCCTGTTTTCCAATCTATGGAGTGGGAGGGTATAAGCCCACCTACCACCCAGCATTGCCATAAGGGTGAACCAGAGCATGTTCAGCATTAAGCAGGAGTCAGCCTACCTGGTAAATGCTCAATAAAAAATACCATTATTGGCTCTCAAAAGAATAAGGATCCATGCGGTCCTCACCTCCAAATCCCACCATAAGTCACTATGATCATTTGGCCAAGAAGTTGGTGGAACATCTCCCTGGGGCCAGGTGGGGAAGGGAATGAAGGTCAGGGAGAAGGTGTTCTAAATGAAAATAAAAAATGAGAAGATGTTGATAGAAGAGCGATCTCAGAGGACCAGGCTTCGCCTCCATGCTGTCTCCTCAGTGGGAGGGAAAGGAAAAATTGGTGAGAAATAAATCCTGCCTTATACACGGAGAAGCATTCCCAGGTGGTGGGGCCAGTGCCGTGGAACACCGCAGCAAGGGATGGATATTGGGAATTGAACTGATTAATAAATCCAGTCATGGGTCTCACTTAGCATGTGAGGGATTTACTTCTAGGCACATATTTATGTGGCTCCACACTTTCATTTGGCTGGGAGAATTCCCCGCGAGGGCCCGCGGGCCTCTTTCTAATGTATTCCGGCCTGAAGGGCTGCTCATGACCAAGTCTGTTACTCATCTGAAATCAAAGTAATTAAGCAGTAAGGTTTGAGTTCCTGTCTCAATTAGGGTTCTGATGAATTCGATGTAATTAAATGTCTGCCGTATTTGCAGTTTGCAAACATACCCAGCGCTCTGGTGTTCGCCTAAGGTGCTTTGGGGAGTTTTATGGGACAAGAAGAAAATTGCTTCTTAGAAAGTGGCTTTTAGAGCAGTTCTTGGCATCCCCACAAGACACGTACGGGGCTGTGGTCCTACAAGCTTGCTTTATTTGAAACAAAAAATAATAAGAGAGAGAACACTAAGCTCTCGATGCAACATACTAATGTATTTTGCATATTGTGTGGCAAGAACTTCATGCCAATTTTGCAAAAAAAAAATGTACTTATGAATTTAAATCCAACATCCAGCGCATGTTAGGCTTTAAAGACATAACCACCAGGAGAGAGTAAACAGTTTAAGTGCATCCCAGATTAGGACGGTCATATTCCGTTTATTACAGGCCGGCAGATGGCTCCAGTTTATAATAAAGAACTCCAGCATCAGCACTCCTGGCATTCTTGAAATGTGCCTGATGTTCCCTGGAGAGGTCCATCTAACATTGGCTGACTTCACCTTGCTCCAAATAACACCTGTCCATGCTGGCTCCTTTACACAAACCCAAGGAGTACCCAGAGGCTGCACATCTGAATTGAAGCCTGCCTTCAGTTGGGTTTCCACGGGAGAATCTAGGCAGTGATTCCAAGACAGGGAGTTGATCTGAAAGGTGATCCCAGGACATGCCAGGGAGGGAGTCAGTGAGGCCAGGAAGAGAAAATAGCCAAGGAAAGTGTGTTTAGCAAGTAAGTTACCTCTGTGGGCAGCTGGGATTTATTTCTTCTGGGGGAATGGGAGACTGTCTAGAACACAGGTCTCTAAGGTATCCAACCTAGGAGAAAGGGACCCAGGGTGTTTATCCACCAGCCTCCTCCAGTCATTGGTAAGGACTGTTCCTGCTGGACATGGGCAGGGTAGACCTTGGGAGAAAACCCCCAAGCAAAGAGACATAGAGGCTGGGCCCTGGAAGGACCCGAAATGGTAAAGGTAGAGAGATAGGAGTGCGGCCCATAACGCATTTGCTAGAAACTCAACTAAGCCTTTAAAAATAGGCCACCCGCACGGTCTCATTTTCAACTCTCCTGAATGAAACACGAGCTTCAGCACTAGGCTGGCTATTAAGAGTTCAGGGCCCGGACGTCTTGCATTTAGGGAATTTCCTCTAGTGCTAAAAATAGCAGCTACCATTCTAAGCACTTGCTGCTTCCAGTTAGGACACAGAAGACCTTGGCTCCCATGGGAACACCAAAAACTAATCTGGATAATATAAAAATCATACTTGTATATGAAACCATCAGAGAACAGTGGAGGCAGGAGAGACTTGATGTACTGACTTCCAGAGAGAGGAGCCCTCTATCAGTGACCTGAGTCCTGGCAGATCTAGATGGAAGGAGAGCAAAAGGATGTGAAGATCCAGAACTTTGCGGGGCGGAGATGAAGCCAGCCGAGCTACGGGTGGTACTGGAGATAGCTGGGGTGTCCTGGAGTCTGAAATACTATCATGTACAATAATAATATGCTCAACAGAGGACGAGAGTCCTCTCCACCCCACCCCAAATTTGCTGGGAAAAACACAAGTGAAGGCAGGACCGAGAAGCAGAAAGAGATCATTCCATCTGCACCATCTCTCACAATCTCCCAGTCCCCGAAATCGAGGAATCCCAAATTCAACCCTAAGAATTAGGAGACTAGCCCTTCCTGCAGAAGCTGGGTGGGAGAGGTGGGGCTAACCAGAGGTGATCCACGGATCAGCCCCAGTCTAATGAACACTTGCTGAAATCTGAATAATCACTTCCTCGCTTTAGCCAGCAGATGAGAGCAGAACTTGACATTTCTGGGGGGAAAAAATAATCAGTATTATTCTTCAGTTCTCACTTTTCTTCTGTATATAATTTCCAGGATGTAATAATAAAATCCAAAACCTGTGAGGAGGCGGCAATAGGACTCATAACCAAGGAAAAGCAGCAGCAGAAGCAAACCACAGATGATACAGATACAAGAATTAGCGGAAAAGAATTTAAAGTATCTATCTTAAATAGGGACCGATGGGAAAAATAAATGAATGGATGGGGAATTTCAGCAGAGAAGTGGAAAAGATAAGAAAAACCAGATCGAAATTATATTTATTATATAATTATATATATATATATAATTCGATCTGGCTTAATGTTAATGTTTTATACACACACACACACACACACA